GTGAGAAAATCACAATTTTATGAAAGCTTTGATTTTGAAATCACGTACTTGGCTTGGATAATGACTGATAATAAATCAGTAGGAAGTTACAAAGGAAATTGATAAATGATCGGCGTTTCAAAACTAACAAATCTTATTCATACAGTCTAACCTCTCCACAATAGCCACCTTGAAGACAGATGAAAGTACCTGTTGTAGAGAAGTGGCAGTTATGGGAATGGGGTATAATATGAAGTAGGTTTTTGTATTCACCATTTGTCAGTCATTGATTAACTGGCCATTGTCAAGAGGTTATTTTGGCAGTTGGAACATGTTGCAGTGGCTATAGTTTAGAAGTTAAAATAAGATTGAATGTATGGACCATCTGCCGGAACAAAAAAAGTGGCCATTGTAGAGAGATGGCTATTGTAGAGAGGTGGCTATTGAAGAGAGGTGGCTATTGTAGAGAGGTGGCTATTGTAGAAAGGTGGCTATTGTGGAGAGGTGGCTATTGTAGAGAGGTGGCTATTGTAGAGAGGTGGCCAATTTTTCCCAATCTAGAGTCCACAAATTAAAGTAATTTAGATACACTTAATTCTAGTAGTGATCTTTCTATTTCTGCTTTGGTTATTTTTTTTTGCTTGAACTTTGGCCCTCTGTATTTATCTTTCATGTATGTGCTGTAATGATCCAATTAGAGAGGGGCATTTACAAACTGTAACTCAAGTTAAAACGTAGTTACAACAACATTTGCTTGTTCATTTGAAGTAAATTTGTTCAATATTACATTACCTCCAGAGAAGTAAGAAGACAATCTAATTCAGTCTTATATTTCAAAGTCTTGCAGTGAGGAGCTTATTGTGTAGTTCCAGAAAATGGCCATACCTCCCCATGAAGGGGATTTTTCTAAGACCCCCTGTATGGATATTTTCTGGAACTGCACATTGGAATAGGGATACTTGTATCTGTTAAAGCATGAAACCTATTGAGCAGTTCTTATTAGAAAGGCAGGCATTCACATGTATTTGCAGGAGGATACTAAATTGAATCATTCACGGAATTTATTTTTCCACAGATTTTTGAATACTTAAACAAGTATGTAATAGGTCAAGGTTTTGCCAAGAAAGTCTTGTCAGTAGCTGTGTATAATCACTACAAGCGTCTATCAGTCAACCTACCACAGTCCCAACAAGCTTCTGCACCAGCTGAAGTCAAACCAGTTCCTGTACAGAGACAATTTGCTGGATCACCACAGGGTAACCATCTTACTTTTATCAGAGTGTGTGTGTCTGACCTGTTGTTTTATTCAAAGTTTGCTAGGGATGTAGCAAATTAAATACGTAATGAGATCATCATGATGAGAAGTACAGGTACCCTTAGTAGTTTTTTGTTTCCATTTTTAACATTGCATCAGTGTGTAACAAAAGTTGTGTCCATATGCCCGGGACACAACTGTGGATTTTGCAGTCTGGCTAGTGGATTCATTCCTTCATATTTTTGAGGAAATTAAAATTATGGAAGTATGCTAATCAATGGAATTTTTTTTGAGGTTGGGGGGGGGAGGAGGGGGGCGGTGAATGAGATTGACTTTCAGGCTAGTATATTATATTTGAGCAAGCCCAAAAATTGGTTTTCTTCACACCCTATACACTCGTAATAAACAACCTTAGACCTAAGCAAAACTGGAATTGGCATTTCAAAACGAGAAGAATGCATGCATGTGGAGAAAAACTACTTGTTGACATGTTTTTGACTCTACTCTTGATTTTCCTCCTTGTACTCTTCGGATGTGAAAACTGTTACATGTAGGTGACACTTTGCTTCATTGCCTTGTAGAATTACAGATGCTTATGACACAGACATCAAATCTTAATTCTCCCTTGGGAGCAAGTGGTGTCCATTCACCAACACAATTACGAGAACAAGCAGGAAGTGACATACTGGACTCAGATGTGGAAAAGATCCAGTTAGACAAGAGTAACATCCTACTTTTAGGACCAACTGGCTCAGGTAAAAAGAACCCTTTGCTCTCTTTAGCGTGTTCGAGCAACAAAATGATAATGATGTTTAGGGGGAGGGGTGGGGCAGGGGTATGGTTAGATTTTTACAAAAGTTGGTGAAACTTAAAGGAAAAATAAAGTTCAAGGAGTAAAGGGTAAAAAAATCACATGGAAATAGATTACCACCACTTCAAGAACACAAAGTCTATTTTGGTGTCTGTCCATCAGTTATCCATCAAATATTTTTGCTTACACACGATTTGCCTAAACCTATTACGTGACTGAGAATGCCCCAGCTAAAACTGGGGTATATCCGAGAGTGATATTCCCCAATTTTCAGATCACGCGTGGAACAAAAAATATTTGAAGGGTAATAAACACGATAGCCTCCATTTGACATTTTAAATATACTCAGATAGAAATACTTTCATTTTTCATCATTCAGGTAAAACTCTGTTAGCACAAACTATAGCTCGATGTTTAGATGTTCCTTTTGCAATCTGTGATTGCACTGCTCTGACACAAGCTGGATATGTGGGTGAAGACATTGAGTCTGTTATTGCAAAGCTCTTACAGGTCAGTGCATCATAACTCATTGCTCATTCTTACTAGGCTCTGGTCATTTTAACTATTGATACTGTAGTCCCTTTCCTCTCCGACATAGGAAAATGTTTGTGATTGTTTTAGTTAACAAATTACCGACAAACTAAAGATAGATCAATAGATTGCTGGCAGTTTGCAGACTGGCTACCAACAGTCAGCTGAGACTTATGTCGAAAAAATTAGGAAAACTGTTGGCTGACTGTCAGGCATAATGTCAACTGACTGTTGGTTCACAAACAGCAACAGTCATAGGACAAATGGCCAACAGTCTACTGACAGAGGCCAACAAACAGCCAATAGTCAGCCAACGAACAACCAGCAGTATTTTCTGGGGGCTGTTCTTCACTTTTGCCCCATCTTGTGTAAGTTGCCTTATAGATATGATTTGGATTCTACCTGTGATTATTTGAACTGTACCTTAAAGGGAAAGGAAAATGTAGAATTAACTTAAAATTAGTGTGCTCAATATTTTCTTTGTGTCTCTAGTTGTATGAAATTATTTTGTTGTTGAAGTAATCTGTAGCCTGCAGTGCAGATGTATTTTGGGCATGCAGGTGCACATTTTTGTATTAGGCCGCCATCTTGGATTTGATAACTGTAGAGGATTGGGAGGAGGAAAAATTTGCAGAGGGAGAAGGCATAAAGTGGAAAAAATGGGACTCCCCCACCCCCCAACCTGCCTCTGCACTAACGCTCTACCGGTCAAGCATCCAATTACAATCCAAGATGGCGACACCAAAAACCTGGTTTATCGAGCATTCCATTCCAAAATAACACCTGCATTGCAGGCCAAGTTATCTGATAGTAACTGATCTGCTTAGATTAGCCAAACGCTAACAGCAGATCAGTTTACAATTGTATTAATTTTCTAACTTCAGTTGAAATAAAATGTGTCTGAAAGTGAAAAACAAAATGTATTTTTATTGTTCTCTCCCATCACAGGAGGCTGGTAACAGTGTTGAAAGAGCCCAACAAGGTATTACTTATATGTATAGAGCATGTAACTGCATTCTTGCATTCTTCCAACTCCCATGCAAAGCAGATACCAGATTGACTAACATAAAAAAACTGCATCTGTGTTGTCTTTCTCTTTGTTGATTGTATTTGTAATAAATTATTTAACGTATCATTCCCAGGAATTGTATTCTTGGATGAAGTGGACAAGATCAGTTGTGTTCCAGGTGTTCATAACCTTCGAGATGTTGGTGGTGAAGGAGTGCAGCAGGTATTGTGTTTCAGAGTTTATTCAAAAGAATTGGGTTACGTGAAATGTAGGCAAGATTGTTGTTGTTAAATGGCACTGTTGATTTGCAAACTGTTTTTCAAATATGCAAATCACCCCCCCC